CATTGCTAACCAGGGTGCATGAGGACGGGCTCTGATGTTACGTTTGAGTAGGGGTGCATGATGATCGAGTAGATCGCTCAGGGAATGCTCATATTGATCAACTAGCGTGTCTAGATCTGCAGAAGGAGAGATGCACACTGAAGAGTTCAAGATGTCCCGCCAGAAGGACTCAATGTAAATATCACAAAATTTTCGTGTCTGGAAAACCACATTAACTGCACCAGGGCGACCAATGCTAAACGTACAAATGACGACAGCATGGTCAGATGGCATATAATGAGTGGTAGTCACTTGGGAGACAAAGTTATCTGAAAGTCTTGTTAACATGAGGTCCAGCGTATGACCATCGCGGTGTGTCGGGCCTGAGACGAGCTGTTTTAGTCCAGCAAAAAGGTCACAGAAAGCAGATGACTCTCTATCAGACTGGTCCCCTGCTATCATTATATGGTTGGCATCAGATACAACGTGCTCTAACAAAGTCGAAAATTCTTGCATGAAAAGTGTACATGAGGGCTTTTTATTCCGCAACCTCTGAGGTCTGTAAACAACCAGAAGTCGGAGAGGTGTGTTGGATGGTGAGTTAATAGACAAGTCAATATATTCAAAGGCATCAAATGCTTGAATATCATGCTAACAAACATGGAAACCCTTTTTGAGGCATATGAGAACTCCCCCACCTGCCCTGTCCGTGAGGGGAATGTGGTGAAACTGAAAGTCAGGTAGAGTGTTATTGAGGTCGGCCAGAGCATGGCCATCACGATGATCACCACACAACCAGGTTCCAGTTATTGCACATTGCTATTGTTTGTTTTCATTTCATAGATCATAGCAGTCTTACGTTTTATTGACCGGGCGTTCCATAGAGCAAAGTTACAGCCAGTAGACAAAGGCTTGATGTCGGCAGAGATGTGCACAAGGTTCGTGGGATTGGAACCATGTTGTCTTGAGTGTCTTGTGCTTTCTTGTTTAGAGGAGGATGATAACACAGGAATGGTTCTTTTTTGTTGCTTGGCCCATGATCTGTGTCCCCGTCGCGTGGGTTTTACAGCACAGATACCAAGTTCTCTGAGTTTGTGATACACCCTGAGTGGTACTCTGGCCTTATTGTTGCGAAGGCTGTTGATGTCATGTCGATTGTAGATGTATGGAGTGGTCAGCTAGAACAATGCGATGAGCAGCAGCATCACAAAGGTGCTGATTCTGCAACCGGCCATCCGCGAACAGACAAAGAAAACTGTGTGGTGTGTGGTGCCAATGGGGAAGATGGCTACTGGTTGTACCAAGGAGGGTTCCAAAGACACCAAATGAGAATGAAGCAAAGCACCAGAATTCTGGATCACAGGATTTCCAGATTAGTCCAGTGGAATCTATGGCAATATAGCAGAACAGTTGAGTTTCTTTGAAAGTATATCAGGTGATTCTATGTACGAAAAAATGACAGGCAATGTGGAGTACAGACCGAGTGCAACCTCATGGCGCAACATCGTAAAGACGCATCAACGGCAGAGGCCGTGTGATCGGCCCGTGTGCACAATATTAGGCAAAGTTTAGGAGAACAGTGTTGAGGGCAACTGACTGAGCCCCACCATGTTCTCAAGACATTTTCATACCGGAGACTTCCCCAGAATTTGTGTCTCCTAACTCTGATTCTTTCTTGAATTCAGAAAGATCATTACGCACGATGCCCCATATAGGGGATCGCATATCAGTCAGCATGTTTATGATTAATGTAATTATCAGGCAGACCTTTTGGGCTGCCGTGTCCACCCACATGTGGAGCGACAGGGCCCATCCAGGGTTTACGTGTCGTGTTACATGCCCAGGTGAAAGCACAATAGCATCTCGCATGATCCACCGCCTTGACGGTGCTAGTCTATGCATAAGTAGATTGCTCTAAAGGTAAGTTGAGTGAAGTAGACTCCCTCCCCCCCCCCTCCCACAGAAGTGTGGTTGGGGTCTACGAATGAATACTTACCTATAGAGCATCCCTCCCGCCTACCCCACTCTACTCGATGCTGTGAGTATTCCGACTTGACGTTCGAGAAAAGAGGATATTCTCGAGGCACGTATGCCATGGGATATTATGGGTAGGACACCAGAGGGTGCTATTATATAAAACTTTTAGCGGGAAGTACCTGCCGGTCTAGAAAATATGCATAAGTAGATTGCACTACAGGTAAGTATTCGTTCGTAGACCCCAACCACACTTCTGTGGGGGAGATTTTTCTCTGTAAACCTAATGACAATATCTTTGATAATACCTACGTTTTGACGGCTAGGTTGGCCATTCCTGTCATTTCGACGTCGCAAGAAAACTTCGACGTCACTCTGGACATGCACAGTGTAATCGGCTGTAAATTTACGGTCAGGAGAACGGATTACGTGTGGATTCCATTTTCGGAAAGCTGTATTTCGAGCTGTTTTGCTGGCCGGTACCATTTTGGAGACGTGGTAGATTTTCTATAGTGGTAATTATACTTTGACATAACGGTACGGCAGTCGGGTGTTCACGTTGACTCATCTAGTTTATCGAAACAACAATACTTGTGATTCGAGTTGGATTATTTTACTTATTATAACTAAAGATACTACTTATGTGGCATGATTTGACGAGTTTCAGTGCAGTGCTGCCCCAAACAAACCTCCTTTTCTTGGCAACAATAAGTATTTCTTATTGGACATGGTGAGTTATGCCACACAGGTGTAGTATTACATTGAGGGAAGACTGGTCGGTGTGGGATTTTTCGACATTGGGGAATTGAACTGTAAACTTTTCCATAAATAATTTGTTTAATGGATCCTGTTGTATTTCACAGAAATATAAAGATTTAAAAAATGTGATTTTAAAGGTCACTTTTTTCTTATTTTAATGCCCTTTCAGACACTAAAATTCATTAAATGTAAGGTATCGTTACTAAAACATATTAGCAACAGCAAATAACAAGTAAAATATTAATATAGAAACATTTCTGCCAACAAAATTGATGAGCAGGCCCAATATCACTGTGTGTCCCAACCTGGTTGAAGAACCCATATCCCCGTCACTGAGAAATGTATACACGCGGGGTATGGGCTAATCAAGCTTCAGCGTGGTAGGCCTACTTGTTTGAATTGCGAAACTCGTGTATTGTGTTTTATTGTGCAGTTTAATTGTGAAAACCACATTCAGTGTTCAATGAACCCAGCAGGGAATCCCCCCATTTGCAGGCGAGTTGAGGGGCTTTCTCTTTTGAAATCACCGTTAATACAAAATGAAAAGTCTCATTGATGTTTTCATGGTTGTCTCAATATTATTAACTAGATTTAATTGATTGCAGGAAAAAAGCCTGGTTGCTGGCTTTCATTCAGCACAAGAGGCCTTTGTTTTTATTTTTATATTTTTCAAAAATAACGACATCGCATATAAAATCTTTGAAGAAGATGTTATTCATTTTTTAACCTACTTTGGGACAAATCGTATGGCTTCAATAGCTAATTTGTGCATTATGAGCAGTTTTTTTAAAGTCCGTTCTCAACGATTTGCTTTTACGAACGAGCTCATGAATATTCATTTGACAGCACAGCCTGAAAAAAACTGGCGCATGCTCATAAAAGCAGATTCCACTCCTGCAGCTTCTATGCAGTGGCAAGAGTAGGGGTTTCTACTGGTCAGATTTTACTGACACCAGACTAGTCACTGGTAATCACCTTTGGCAAGATTTATAGTGAGATGTCCAGTGGTCAAGAAATATGGAAGAGCAGTCCTGTCTTTGGCTTAGTTATGAAATATGCAAGATGACCTTTGACGATGAGCACATAAGGATGTTAGGGTTCTTACCTGTATGTAATTTTATTTAAATTAGATTAAAGACAAAAGATTAATTATTGACCTTTGTCATGGAAAAAATAACTGCGTCACACATGGTGCGTATGTGCACAGCACACACACGATGATTTGCAATGGTACCACCATCGCCTGCTAGCACTTGACTGCTGCCCTGGCATGGTACCGGTAGCCACATGAACGATCCAATGGATAACATCCAACATATTGTGCAGTTTTCTGAGGTTTGAGGTTTAGTTGTAAAAAAATGCGATGCTTTAAAAATCACAATGATTATCTTGAGAATGGCGAAGAGAGCATAAGTGATACATTTCACTGGCAGTTGTTGGAAAAAAAAGACGATAATGCCTGATAATTCCCATGTATGTTAGTGGAGGCTGGTTGAATGGACATGATTGAATCATAAAGCAATGGTGCCCTTGTCTGTTGGACTTTTCCCCCAACTCTCTCAAGTAAGAAGTAAACGTCTTTGTTGATGAGTCTGTTACACTTACTGTCATTCAGGCTTTTTAATTTTATAAAAACACAGAGCGTTTTTCTCATTGTTAAATTTACAAGAGGCGGTGTCCAGAAATTGGGCATGACACGTATTGTACATGTGTGTGTACATGGACATTATGTAACTGCAGCATGGCCCTGATTTCGGACACATGTTTTTGTTTGGCCTATTCTTCAATTTCTGTTTTCCATGTATGCCAGTTTCATCTCTGAATTATATGAGGATGAGAAGGAGAGACTCAACGCCGTCCCTTGGAGCCTTCAGTTTCTCCTCCCCTCGGTTTCTCTTCTCAGTTTCTCTCCACCCACCTTAGATCTCCAAAGAGACATGCTTCAGTGGTGGCATTGGGGTTATAACCTGTGTGCTGGGGCTAATTTGCATTTTTATGAATTAAGCAAAGGATAGTACGAACTGTATTACTAGTATAGGGACAACATAGTAGGTGAAAAACGTATGAATGTGCTAAAAAATTCTTTGAAAAAATGAGAGAGTCACAGTCAAAATTAACAAAAAATTAGCAATAAAAATAGTTGTAGTGAGTGAGTGACTCCTAATACTTCATATACAAATGTATCAAAATGCAACAAAGCTTTCCAAATTTCATGGAAAGACCCAGATGTCTGCTGATATCTTTCTCAATTTTGTAATGAGTCAGATGTGGTTATTTTTTAATTATAGATTAATATTGGTGTCAGCTTCCCCAACACCCAAGTTCTGTTTGAAAAGGCGGAATCTTCTCCCATAAACCTGACGGGCAAGTCTGTGGGGTAAGTACATGTACTTCATTGTTAATGACAAAATTTAAGTTTTAAAACACAGGAATACAGTTGTAATGTCTTTAATCTAGAGCATGTCTCATGCAATTTGTATGTTGACCTGCGATTTTTTCCCAGGTAGGTAATTCCATATGAAAGCGGCTTACTGTTTGGTCCTAACCGTTCCGTAAAGGCCCCAGAACAAAGTATTTATAAGATTTCCCTGTCTCATGTTTATTCATACGACGTATCATCTCTGCAACAATTGCTCCTGGTAGGGCTAGCTCATTAAATCTGGATACGCCTGAGTGTGCACAGCTGTGCAGTTAGCTAATTGTCCAGTCATTTACAATGCCAGACTTATTGGTAAGTACGCAGACTTCTCGCGTAGGAATGGTTAGGACCAAACGGTAAGCCGCCTCAACCAAAGTCCAGAAATCTTCCATGGCCACTGAATCAGACTTGACTCAAAACAATTCTGGAAATACCTTTGTGTGAATTATGAACACATGCAAATTTTTAGGCATCAACTCCTGAAGATTTGTGAGATATGGCCCCCAAAGATAGGCCCTCGTTTTTGCACTCTCCAGCATTGGAAGCCAATAAATAATTATGTGGAAAAAGTTTCATTACGGTGAACTCGCCTGCCAAATATAACCCTTTTTTAGATCCAAATATAACCCTGTTTAGAGCCTCTGAGACAGAGTCGTCCACAAATCAAAAGAAAGTTAGCATCATTAACTCTCTGTGAAAGATCCTGGGCTGACAGGAGCCCCTTGAATATTGAATATTTGAGTTTTGAATATGAAAAGATTCATATTTTAGGGGCCAATAGTTCTAAAATGAGGAGAGATATAGTCAGGTGGCTTAGACCCAATTTTCGACGGCAAGTATTAACGATTTATGCAAATTAGGCCCCTTTCCCAAAATAATTTCAGGTGTCACCCCTTCTAAATATCTTTTTTAGGGCTATAAGAATCTATCTGCCAAGTTTGGTGCTTTGGACCAGTGGGTCACGATCTCAACCATATGCCACCTCACTAATAGGCCAATTTTGATAGGCCATATTCTGAAAGCCTGGTGCCAGATTACCGCAAATTTGATCTATGACTAATGACTCTGTTCGTACCACAAAATGATGCCCTGTCCAATGTTGACCTTGGGTTTCCAGATGTTGTGACTTCATCAAACCTTTTCATATTTCGAAAATTTCTTTTCACCTCATGATGAACATGTATCATCTCTGAACTAAATCAGTATTCAGATTGCATGTTTTAACTGCTGATGTTAACAAACTAGAAGTAACGTGTACGTGTACATAAAATGTACTGAAATTTATCAAACCCTAAAAGATGCATTTTTTTCTTAGATTAAAATGAATGCTCTTTAATGGTTTCATTAGCCTTTTCCTGTTCTGACATGAAAGTATTTATAACTGAGCAGTGTCCTATGAAATAGTTTTAGACCTGATCACCCAGCGTTTGTGACTCAACAAATGCAAATCTCAAGTCACATTTTGGAATCAGACTGTCCGAAATGTCAAAAACGAGAAATAGGCCTTTATAGTTTTGAATTTAGTGAAAAAAATATATTGTTGATGAACTTTCAGTTCGGAACTTGTACAGAACATTTTAAACATTAGTAGCATAACAAATTTTTAAAAAATTCTTAAAATCATCACCCCATGTCATTTTGAAGCTGTTTCTCCATTTGTAGCTCTGCCCAATTCCACCTGGTTTTGACATACCACGTCACATTTACAAAAACAGTAAGCAGTTTGCAGTAGTTTATGTCATTTTCACATAATACAACGTTTCAAAAGATGTTTGCATGTAATATCTTTAGTTTCCATTTCCACTCCATTCTGTTATTTTGACTGTACAGGATGTCTCAATCTAAAGTATACCCATTTTTGGGTATAAATTATCACAAATGTACTGAATATTTCAGAAAGAGGCAACTACAAGGTAAAAGGTCAGGATGCCATCTATCCAATGATGTTAAATTCATTATAATAATAATTATGTCAATGTTTCCGTCAGCTACTATGGAACTCCCAAAGGTAGACGAAGCTGTCGACCATTGTTGAACAGAACAGGCGGTATGGCCTTGAGTGATGGAGAAGGAATGAAGACAAGTTAGTGCACAATGGAAAAGTGATGATAGAGACAATGATTAGGTTCTCCACTGAAGGAATGAATTTAGACAATAATTCTGATCACGTAGTCTTTCAATTTCTGTTTGTGGTAGTTACAGGATAACTTTGCAGTCATGAGCCCTCAACATGACTGCCATTTCTGGTAACACATAGCTCACATCATCGCCCCATGTGTCTGACAGGACATCGTACCATTCCTTGGTCTTGATGCTGATTCACCTCATCCACTATCCCAGTTCTTAACTCCTGAGTGTTAGCAGGGGTGTGGTGAAAACCTTTTCTTTCGAGTGACCCCACAATGGGTGAGGTCTGTTGATCTTTATAGGCCACAAAAACAAGTCCCCACAATTTCCATGTGGCAGTGCCTGGGCCCACCACACCCATCTGAAAGCTCCACGTGGTGCCTTGGGAAGATCAACTACATGTACATATGTGGTACCATAAAATCATTGATCGTATCCGTGACCTACCATAAATTCTTATGTAACAGGAATAGAATAACATCCGTCTGCCCTTTGCCATCTAGGTAAAAATATTTTTACCCTCTTTCGTAGAGACTTTTCATTAATACCATTGGATAGAGGACATCCTGATCTTTTCCCTTGTAGTTGCCTCTTTCTGTTGACATGCAGTACATTTCTGATAATTTAATTTAAAAATGGGTTTACTTTATTTTGAGACATCTTGTATTACAGACGTTTATTATTGAAAACACTATTTTAAGCTTCATGGCATAATCTGGTTCGAAATAGCAAATTATTGGATTCTAAATATTGAATAAGGTATCTAGTGGTAATATAGTTTAACATTTTAAAATTTGTGAACAGAAAAGCTGGTGGAAGACAATCCATCATCAACCCTGACTGGGATTTCAAAAACATGGGCATAGGTGGCCTAGATAAGGTAGGTAGTTTATGAAATAACTTTGGTCCTTCAAAATCTGTGTGCACATCTAATTGCCTTGGAACAATCAATTGAGAGTTTGTATATGGACTTTTAAACTACTCCTGAGAGCTCCATGTGCGGAACGCTATGCATGTGCGCAATGGATCATAAGGCTAGGACGGTATTTCGATATTACTGAATAGATCCATTATGATCCATGAATATTGCAATACTAGCGAACTTGGTATGAAATTTCAATACCACGGTGTTCTCCCTTATGTGTTCTGAATGTTTGCAAACCCTTTCAAACAGAAAGGGAACAATATCATTCACATGTTTGAATGCATTGTTTGTGGTTCCAGTCATCCAGTGTCATGTCTGCATTGTCAGTTAAGTGGAATGATAAGATTAATTGCTTGACTTGATAACTTGATACTGCAACTGCTGCCACCCTACCAGTGTTTGCATTTGGGGGGGGGGGGTGTATAGCATCTGGATGGAAAGTTCAGACAATGTTTTACACAGGCCAGGGCGGTGTTTTGGTGGTCACAACCAAAAACTGGTTCTGTTGTTTCTCTTTGGTTGTTTTGGGATTTGAATCCTACATCATCATGCGTAATTTTTATAATGGGAGACTTTCCATTCTCCGTAAGTCACCGAGAGAGGGCGCTCATTACCGGGTAAACTACATGAAAAACAATCGTCTGAAGTTACTTGTGTACATTGCGTATCGACATCGGTTTTCGACTTGGCTTGCTGTAGAAAATCACCCGCTTCTCATACAGAATTATGCCAAATACTCTGTGTGCTGTGCCGACGTGCTCGGGAAGAGGTGGACATGAATTTCCAAAGGAAAGAAAGAGGTGTAGTAATGCTTGGCGAGTGGCCATACGACGGGTGAAAGATGACACAGGCCGGTCATGGTGGCCGTCTCTAAGTGATGTTGTCTGCTCGGAACACTTCATAACATCAGACTATCAACGGTTTGGAAAGTCTGGTAAGTTACTTTTTGTCGAGATTTAGGCCTTAACGGGCCTCCCATACTCTAAATCAACCATTTATGATTATTTAACCCATGGACTTTGGCAACGTTAAAGTTTACTAAACGTTGACGTTTAACTTTGACCTGATTTCCGTACATGTATGATGTAGATGTAGTAGTAGTAGAAGTAGTGGGGATTCAATCCAACTCTGGGATAGATTCCCATATCTGGCCATCTCTCATTTTTCCCTTCAGTGACCTATCGGCCATCAGAAAGTGATAATATGTCCTAAAGAGTCAAATTTAGCAGAGAAAATATTGAAGTATTTATTGAGAAAACACTTATAAATGTTCAGACCAGTCTCATAGGGTTTGTGCACAGGGTGTCAAGTGATGGCCAGATATGGAAATCTTTCCCGGACGGATTACTCGGAACCAACCATGACCAACTCGGACCCATTGTGAGGACATGTTTTCAATCAGTCGATTGGAAAATGTTTGACCAACATCATTGACAATGACAATGATCCTGCATAAAGACACACTCTCAGCACTCAAGATACAACCTGAATCACCTAGATTTGGAGACCAGACAGTTTTAATAGCTCAATGGATGAGCCAGTTGCACATTATCAAAGTATAAGCAACTTAGTATTTTTGGATGGGAAACCGTTTCATGTATAGTCCTTGGTTGGATGGCCGACTGAGATCAATGTGGCATTAATCTGAGGCATATAGAAGGCTTCCTATGTGTCATCTGTAGGGTCGCGTCCTTTGGATGGGACGTTAAGCTTGAGGTCCCATGTACTAAGCCTTATGCATGTAAAAGAACCCAGGATACTTATCGTGAATTAGCAGGGGTTTGCCCCTGTGTTTCTGGTGCACTGTATACAGGATGGCAGCCCCAATTAATGTGAGTGTGCCATCCCCTTCCCTTCATCAGCGCCTTAGATTGGCTATACCAGACATTGCTGCACTATATAAATACTACCATTTTAGTGATGCTCACTGTGTAGGACCTGTCAAAAGTGAGGGGCATGTCCCCCAGTCGAAAAAGCAGAGGGGGTCCCCCCCCCCCCCCCCCGGCCCCAATGCCGTTGATTAGAGTTGGGTCTCCCAAGCTATGAATCACCCATCGTGAGACTACATTTTGCATATTTACCCCTCAAAAAGCCTACCAAACATACATACATAAAATGTTCATAATTACATATTTCTTTTTTATTTTTGCAGGTGTCAAACTGCAACGAAGAAAGTTGAAACCAGATGCTGTTCCAAGCCAGTTCTCATGGACAAAGCAACCAACTTCAGCAGTTGTCTCAAGGACGAACCGCTATACAGAACGCTGTGCAAACAGAGAGGGTACCTGTGATGGGAATTCTGATGAGCTGTCTCTGGATGTTGATGTTGACCTTGATCTGGACATTGCAATGGTGGTAAATGTGAACAGCGAAGAACAACAAATACATGACCAGGCCATCCAAACAGACCTGCCAGAAACCCTGCCAGCATCAGTATCTGCACATACACAGACAGACTCTGGGACTAAGGTACAGGGATTTACAATTCATGATTTCAAGAACGACCCCAAAGGAGTACACTACTACACAGGGCTTCAAGACTATCTCAACTTCATGGATGTACTTGCTTCGCTAGGACCATGTGCCTTTGAGTTAACATATGTTAATGGAAAAAGGCCTTTCTTATCTGTACCAGATTAACTATTTTTGACTATAATTAAATGCAGGAGATATACAGCCAATTTTAAATTGAGTCGAATGTTTAAGATCAGTGAATCGGAGGTATACAGTATTTTTGCAACCTGGATTAGATTCATGCATCTTCAGTGGAGAGATAGATATCTGGCCAGATGGTGACTTGGTCAGCTTTTATGCTCCGTCTGATTTCAAGGCCAAGTTTCCAAGCACTTGGACTATCCTAGATGGCTTTTCAACATTTTCAACTTACAAAAACCGTAACACTGCTAAAGCACTGGTTGGTATAACACCAGGAGGTTTGATGTCCCACATGTCCGGTGCATATGGTGGTTCGACCAGTGACAGACAGATGATCGAGAGGAGTGGATTAATTAATAAAGTCAACAAAGGTGATTCAATAATGGCTGATAAAGGTTTTGATGTACAGGACTTGTTTGCACCAGTGGATGTGACAGTGAACATTCCTACTTTCTTCAAGAACAAGAACAGAATGACAGGTGAATCTGTTGTAAGAGATAGAAAAATATCTAGCAAAAGAGTTTATGTTGAAAGGATTATTGGACTTGGGAAAACATATAAAATATTGACACAGCCACTGAATCACACAGAGACAATTCTGTCTTCAGACATTGCATTTATTTGTTTTATGCTTGTTAACTTCAGGAAATGTATCATTTCAAGATAGTCACATACCATGGACCTTATTCACGAGGAAGCCATTTTGGTCGTGTTCCCTGAATGTATTTTATAAATTGTGAACTGTTGAATGTGATGTTGCTAGACTATTTATTCACTATAGCCTCACTTTCAATTTTTTTTTTAATTTGGCTTCAAATGTTAGGGCATGGTTGATCACAAATTCTAAATTATTCATCAGAGCAGACTGGTATTAATTTGTTATTAACTTTATGTCATTGCTTTCATTTTTCTTCGCAAGTTCCAAAAATGAAGATTTAACCTCACTTTCAATTTAATATGGCCGACTCGTGAATGAAGCCCATAACTCATAGGGTTAGGACAAAACAAATTTAATACATTTTTATTAAGGATTAAACTAAATCTGAAATAGCTTTTCACTACAAATTTGAGAGGTTTAACTTTTTGATTGCTGGCAAGAAGTGCATGTATGACATTATGCAGTATTTAAATAAGGCCAAACAAATATTTCTGCTTCCGATTTCATGGCATTTGAAATAGGCTAGGTAGGTAGGGAATTTTTTTGTTTGCAGTTAGTTTGTTTTGATCGCATAGGTGTCTGCGTGTAGCCAGCCGAGGGTAAAAGGTAGTAATTGATGGTTTTGAAATTTTTTTCTCTTTTTTTTTCCAAAACAAAATTAGGGTCGGGCTGTCAAAATAGGGTAGGTAGGGTAATTGGACGCAGAATTATTATTTTTGTTTAGCCTATATATATGTCATACGCGAGGTCACACTTCTCACAAAGAAAACAGAGTATACAAGTATAATATGGTGTGAGGGTTGGAAGGCGATATTAGTTCCCCTCGGTATTGGAAATTGAGAAAATTTGGCGACTATTTCCATATACAATACTTGGTCACTAAAGTGTGCCGTGCATCTAAAAAAAAGTACAACAAATAGTAATATTTTTCTGTTTATATAACTGTAAAGTGTGGAGATAATTTCTCATCCCAAAGAACAGTTTTCATAGCTATTTATTTTCAAAAATAAATAAAATACATAAAAGTTTATCAGGAAATGGAAGAGTTGTTACCCCTTATTTTGGTGTCCTTATTTTGTTACTCAAATTAATTGATAAAAATAAATTCCTGTGTCCAGTGGTTATAAATTATCTCCGTTATCTCTTACCATGTAAATACACATGACAAACAATGAAAACATCAAAGGTAATAAGAAGCTTATTCAATCATCCAATTTTCTCAGGATTCATGGTTGATTTAGGAAGGTTTCAAAGATAAATGCCTAGGGAGTTGGGGTTAGAGACAAAATATGAAGCAATACTAATACTAGCAATAATAGCCCATACAAAAGTATGGTTTGAAATTAAGTGTACATGAGATCTACATTGTACACGTACATGTATATTTGTGATGTATATTTACATGTACATGTAGATATCAGGAATAAAAGATGATTTTCAGTAATATCAGTGTTATTTATTTCTCCATCTGTGTAGAGCAAAATGTGTACTTGTCAGTTTCCCTGTAAAAATACTTGTTTAATATTGCTTTCCTAAAGTGATGATCAAAGAAGTACTGTAATTTTGTTGTTGCTTCTTCGATGAATTTATTATTGTGTTGAATTCGCATTATTCTCACATCTTTAAATGTCCACACTATAAAATCACACCATTGTCTGTCGGTACAGAGCATGTTCCCCTGAACTTGATAATAGTAGTTATGATTCTCCTTAAGAGCCAATTCACCAAAGACATCATATTTCAAGTAAGGAACATCTGCTGGAGATATTTCAAGATCTTTACAAGTGTATGGACATTTGACCTCAATAATGCCCTTCCTGCCTACAAGACCATCTCGGGAACTACCCAAGAATGGGTGCTCTGCACATACGTGTATGCCACAACTGTCAACCTTGTTACCTGTTTCAGTGCAATAGTCTTTTACTGCAATAGACTCATATTTTTTCCCATGTTCGGTGTATTTACTAGTGAAAGTCTCAGATTTGGTGAGTGACTGTGCCATTTTAGTCAAATCTGTTCTGGGTCCTGCCTTACAAATTCTGCCAAAGTTGGAGGCATGTAGACGCTTTGTTCTCTCTTCTGTCCACACTTTATTTGCACTCTGCCCTCGTGTAGCCTCTTCGGTCATTGCACAGGTTTCCTCACTGATGGTAATCACATCCAATTTATCAAGAAAGTACTCTTCAAGAGTTTTCTCTAGATAATCATGGTAATTATTGATGGCCATGATGTTTGCTGGTGCATATAATTGCCGGATTGGTAGATCTTCTGTTTGAGAGTTGAGCCAGACGCTTCTGAATGAATCTCGATATCCAGGCCTATTTCTGAATTCAACCGGCCTGGGATCAAAGTCCTTAAGATCATGTAGGTTGTCTTTTTTGCGTAGCTTTAAATCCTTCATCAAAACTGGTGTGCCAGCATATTTCTTTTGATGATGAAATGTTTGCAGCTTTGCAGTACATGTGTCCTTGGTTAAGATGCCCTCCTTTCTTTTAGAAAGAGCAAAGAGTACTACAGCTACATTCTTGCAGTGGGCCTCTGGTCCCAAGCCAACAGCACATTCACATTGGGACTCTTCAACCACTCCATGTTTGTTTATCTTCATATCAACCTTATATATCACCTTTGTTTTCATTTCCGCGGAAACTCTGCCAATGAAGTACACAGTTTCATCTTGGTTGCAGTAGCGTACTGACTGCAGAAATTTCCCGTAGTAGAGTGCCTCTGTCTTCTCTTGCAAATCTTGCCCATGAAGCTCGTGAAAGGTTGTGATGTTATCTGCTGTTACTACTGGAATCTGAAATTTGACAAGATGACAGTTGTGTAAAAACAAAACAATTCAGCAGAACTCAAAGGAAATTGAAAAACAAATATGATAAGCCATTGTTTTGCAATCCATACGAGGAAAGAACCACAACACAAACCTGAGTGCGACCAGTAGACCTAAATCTTACCACTTCAAGGCAATGAACAAATGCCAAGCCACTCTTTTGTCGGATATCCATGCCACCAGATAACAAAATGGGGAGGCTGTTTTGATTTAAAATGATGACAATGTTTTCTTTTTGGCTATTTACAATTTGCATGCTTTATCCCGACACACGAGGGCGCTGCTATGATTGCATTCCACAGTGTACTTAAAGCATAATAAAACACCTCCAGATTTGCATTTAAGAATAGATGGTATCAGTAGAATTTAAAAATCCTATTTCCAGATGTATTATCATACACACATACCTTACTGTCAGTGTTGATGTCCTTATAATCTGTTGGTTTAGGTGTGGTCATCTAAAAAACCCTCTCATCTTCACATTGGATCCACGTATGGCCAAAGTTGAAATTCCTGTCGTAACTTTCCAGTCTGAAATCAAAGCATTTGGAAATTTAGATAACAAGATTTTCAAAAGCCTTAGCCATAGTGTGTGGGCTAGGCTAATGATAGGCTTAGCTGCTTAGGCCAGCTAGACTAGTCTAACTCAAAGAGTTAGACTAAACAGGCAAACGTTATTCCCATTCCTATTGTTAAAAATGGCTAATTTTAACTTGAAAAAATTAGATTTTTGTAGGATGACCACTATGACACATGATCAATTTTCAAATGAGATGTCTAAAGAAAAAAATACATCAACAAACGTATTTCAGGAGTAGGCCTTTCGGTCAAGGCCTGCGGTTAAACTTAAGGCCTGGGGTTAAGCCTAACTTTATGTCCAAAATATTTTTTTGTGCTCCACACAAAAATTCCTTTTTGAAATTAGGCCTAGCCAAAGGACCAGTTTAGATCTGTCATTATAAATTGAAATAGTTGCTGCTACTAAAACTTTTAGTAGCAGCAACTATTTCAATTTATAATGTGCTAGACGTAACTTGACACCCTGTGGCTGTGCACAAACATGACAAACCTTGAGCCTGAGGCTACATCATGCATTATAATTATGATGTACAACAGTACATGTGCATGAATGATCATGATGAGACTGGTCTGAACATTTGTAAGTGTTTCCTCAGTAAATGCTTCAATATTTTCCCTGCTAAATTTGAATTTTTAGGACATTTCTGATGGCTGCTAAGTCAATGAAGGGACAAATTAGTGATGGCCGGATATGGGAATCTTTCCCGATTGAGTTTATAAAATACAGATGATCGGCCATGCTCGACAATGTCAACAAAAACACTATAAATTAATCAAGTAGGCCTTTCAAGTATCATGCTCCCATGCAGTATTGTTGATGTAGGCCTAGGCTACCCTAACATGGCGCGGCTCCTAACATGGCACACTTTGATTTTTCGCCTCTAGCATGTCTAGTGCCTTGATAACGTTAGAGCAAAAGTATTAGGCCTTACTGAAATTTCACAGAAAGTGAAATTTCATCAAGTTCTAAACACTCCCATCTACCCGTTACAAAGTTAGAAGCAAAATGTATTTCGGCGTGATTTTCCGATTTTATTTCAAAGTGCACAGTGAACCCTTTGAAAATGTTCCCCAAAAATTAGAAAATAATTTTCTGACAAACTTCTAGTTGGGTATGTGATGAGAGAAAATAATGGTTTATCAGAATTAATCAACTTTACAGAAATTCTTAAATTTTATTTTGGAAATTTTCCGAGATTTATTCAAGTGCACCACGTACGTTCGGGGAACACTCTGCCGATTTGTGCCCAATTTCTGGACGCCACAGTTTTTGAATTTCTGATTAAAATAATTTCATGACACTGAAATTGTTCACAGACGTTAAATAGAAAACATTGTACCAGTAAAAACAGTACCAGTATTTCAGTTAATGAATTTGAAGTTTGTCAACAAAGAAGTTTGGCAACACTGATGTGGAAAGTCGGGGTAAACATCGAAGTGCGCCACGTTGCGGAACACCACTAGGGCCTAGTCCATGTAGTCTATCACAACTCGCACTGTCGCAGAACCAAATAAACCCACCTTGTGACAAGTTCATGTTTTCTTCCTGACTGTTTAGCGTTTCTTTTTCTCAGCTCTGCCCTCAGATCTTTCAAGGTCATTGAACCATAATCAGGATTAGCAGACATCATGACGATACAAGCAGATGGCAGATGTCGATGGCAGACGATCCGACAGTGTCGGACCGACACACGTAGCGACGTACAAATTTGCCAAAACTTTATTAATGTTCCCGCGCGAAAAATTTACCCGGTAGGTCTGCTGCCCTCTATTGACGGAGATCTCAGAAAGTCTCCCATTGCCAAATATTCAGCATCAAGCCTTGAGAAACAACCAAATCAAGTCTTGATTATGACAGCAAAATGCACCCGTGCTTGTTCAGCATGCAGCACAGTATTATCAATGTGATGTATGTATTATGGATGTACATAAATTCCTGTAACACAAGAAGAAAAGGTGATACGGCTTTGTGCCTGGGAATCAATTATATTATCCGAGGTAATGTCTAACTGGAAACAAAAGAATGAGAACAGTACACTATCATTTGAACAGTTATAGTTAAATGTAATTGTCTGCTCTCTAATTAACCCTTAGAGCCACTACTTATATAAGACTCTGAAACAAATAATATGAATCTGTTTCCGCTGCCGACTTCATGCAAGCTTTTCAGAATATTTCTACAACGTTGTCGGCCCTAATACTGCCCCATGTACAGGAAAGAGTCACATACCGTGA